TACTTGAACTGTTACTCAGTGGCTAATACAACAGAGGTTTACTTGAAATGTTGCGCATCCAAGGCAAACCAGCACCACGTCTGTGCTGAGGAGTCACTCTGGGTTTCAACCTGATGGACATTTCACTTCCTACTAAAGAACAGGAGCAATGGATGGTTGTATGGGCGTATCTGAGACTTGCAATGTGTGTCAAGAGGGACCAAAACACTATCATTTATATGTCATTACCCAAAGAAAATCACATGGCCACATGTAACTTCAAACAGAAGTGCCACCATAACCCCCCAAAGAACAGAAATCTTAGCTGTGGTGATAAATGTTCAGGGTCTCCTGTTTTATCCAAGTAAACAGTGTTTTAAAGCTCAAAGCTCTTCTCTCTGTGTCTGTCTCTCTCTGTCTGTCTGTCTCTCTCTGTCTCTCTCTGTGTGTCTCTCTGTCTCTCTGTTCCCCCCCTCTGTTTCTCTGTGTCTCTCTGTCTCTGTCTCTCTGTTTTGCTGGTTTTTCAAGGCAGGGTTTATTTGTACAGCTCTGGCTGTCCTGAAACTAGGTCTGTAGACCAGGCTGGCCTTGAACTCACAGAGATTCACCTGCCTCTGCCTCCCACGTCCTGGGAGTAAAGGTGTGTGCCACCACCATCCTGATCCCAAGTCTCTTCTCTATCTGTTTCAACTTCTAGAGGTCTGTACAGAAAACAAAAGAATGGAGTTGGGCATGGGAGTGCATGCCTGCAATCACAGTACCAGAAAGATCAAGGGTTCAAGGCTAGAGCCGGAGAGATAACAGCAGTCAAGCATCTGTTGCTCTTGCAGATGCAGGCGACCCAAGTTCAGTTCCCAACATCCACATGACAGCTAGCAACCATCTGTAACTTCAAGAGGCTACAACACCGTCTCCAGCCTCCATGGACACTGCTAACATGTGGCGTACAGACATCCATGCAGGCAGAGCACCCAATACCTAGTTTGTTTGTTTGTTTTAGTTCTAAGAGTCAGAACTCAATAGAGTTCAAGGCCAGCTTAGACTACAATAGTAAATTTGTCAAGGTGGTCTTGTCAATAGGAGGGAAACAGGGAGTAGGGAGAGGAAGAGTTGGTCACAAAAATATCCTGACTTATCCAAAGTCAGAAAGCCAGGCCCCAGACTGAATTGAACCCTCAGAAAAGCCCTGTCCTTGGTGTCGCTGAAAACCTTTTGACCTCTTTTCTTCCAAACATCACAGCACCTAGCAGGGCTTTTCTTCCTTCTGGAAGTTCCTGCACTGCTGCTAAGTCTCTTTCTTTTTTTTAAAGTTTTTTAAAATTTATATTTATTTATTATGTATACAATATTCTGTCTGTGTGTATGTCTGCAGGCCAGAAGAGGGCACCAGACCTCATTACTGATGGTTGTGAGGCACTATGTGGTTGTCGGGAATTGAACTCAGGACCTTTGGAAGAGCAGGCAATGCTCTTAACCACTGAGCCATCTCTCCAGTCCCCCTAAGTCTCTTTCTTGACACAGACTTTTGCAAAACCTTCCGTTCATAAACTGCACCGCTTTGTCTCCTGCACATGAATTGAAGAACCTTAGAAACGTTTTCTGTAGCATAAATCAAAGCTGCTTCCGTGCCTTGAGGTTCAGATAAGCAAACTTCGTGCTCGGCCAGAGTTAGTTTTAAAAAGGGACTTGTAGGGCCGAGCATAGTGGCTCAGAGGCGAGCGGATCTTTGTGAGTTTGAGGTCAGATTGGTCTACATAGAGAGTTCGAGGGCAGAGCGGACTAGACAGTGAGAACCTGTATAAACAATAATTTTTAAAAGGGAGGGCGACGACGTCGGAATTCGTCTCCAGGATCTGGTCGACCTCCCAGTCACAAGCTCAGTTTGTCCTCGTGGAGGATTGACAAGTAATGAAGACTTTCCGCCACTCCGTGACGGCGCCGCCCTTCGCCGCCCTGCCGCGCGCTTGCGCAGCGCCGCCAGCCCGGCCCCGCCCCTCGCGGAGCGATCATTGGCCTCAGGGACAGGGTTTAGCTACAAGATGGCCGCCGCGCACCCGGACCCCCCGATTCCGAGCTCACCGACCCGGGAGTCGCCATCCCCGGAGCCGTCGGACCTGGTCGGGAGACGAAGGGGTCTGGGCCGGGAGTTCACGGCGAAGGAGGGCGCAGGACAGGGGGCGGGGCCTAGGAGGACTGGGCGGGGGTATGGTAATACTCCCGGGGCGGGGCTTAGGGAGGAGCCTATGGGGAATGAGGAGCGAGGCCTGGTTGAGGCGGGGCCTGAAGACAGGTTGCGTGTGGGGCAGGGTTAGGTCCTGAGAGAGAACTAGGGAGTTGGTTTGCATAGACAGGGGTGGAGTCTTAAGAGGAGTGGGTCGTCAGGGAAATAATAGTGGATGGTTGGGAAGGTGACCTCAAAGGGGAGTTATAATCCGGACACCATGTTGGGATGCCATGTGATGATACAAGGACTACCTTATGAGTGCCCAAGGGAAGATTTTGGAGGAGAAATGGGTGTTCCGGGTGACTTTGGAACCTCTCACTCGTTACTGAAGAGTAACTCAGAATATTGATTCATTCAACCAATATTGACTGAGTTCCAGGGGACCAAAACGGACAGAGATTGCGTCCTCTTGCGGCTCGCAGTCTCGTGAGGACTTGTGAGGAGTGACGATAAACAGAATTTATTGTAGTATGTTCCATAAAGGGAATAAAAAGTAAACTGATAGGGTGGGGACAGGGCGAGCTAAATTTAGATGGCAGAAGTCTGCTGGATGACGGGTTATATTTACACTGCAGTCAGGGAGATAAGCAGGATCCAGATCGTGCTGGATATTATAGGGACGACACGAGGTTTTAAATGCCGTTGGAGGGCTTAGAGTGGCAAAATGCATGACCTTATTTACATTTTCCAAAGTCTATTCAGGTGCTCTAGAGAGGGAGGTAATGAGGGGCAGAAGTAAGAACAGGGATTCCCTTTGAGTGGTATTTTTTTCAGTTGCAAGGGTAAGAAATGATGAGGCTTTTAACTAGTATAGAGGACAGGCACGTCTGTATCTGTGGTATATTCTGGGCAGGAAAAGGAAATGCCAACCGAATGCAGCAAAAATTCTGGATCGTGTATAACAGGGTGGAGAAAACAATAGCTGGGGCTGGAGAGATGGCTCAGCAGTTAAGAGCACTGGCTGCTCTTTTAGAGGTTCACTTCCCAGCATCCATATGGAGCTCATAACCATCTATAACTCCACTTCTGGGAGATCTGACCCTCACTTCTGGACTCCATAGCACACATGTGGTGAACATACACACATGAAGGCACTCACACATACATATAAAAAGAAAAACTCAGGCCTGGTGGTACACGCCTTTAATCTCAGCACTTGGGAAGGCAGAGGCAGGCAGCATCTCTGAGTTCTAGACCAGCCTGGTCTACACAAGTCCCCATTCAGCTAAGGCTAATAGTGAAACTCTTGTCTCAAAATAAGTAAATAATAAATCATAAAAACCAGGATCCAGTGGACTTCAGAGAAGCAAATATTTTATTTAAAAATTTTAATTTATATATTTGAGGAAAGGGTGTGCATGTGTGCCATGGCACAGGCATGTGGAGGTCAAAGGGCAATTTGGGAGAGTCAGTTCTGTCTTTCTACCCTGCTGGTTCCAGGGATCATACTCAGTTTGTTAGATTTGGCAAGTGTCTATGCGCTGAGCCATTTCGCCGGCCTGGGCAAGTGTTTTAAGTGGAAGCACATTGAAGAATGCTCTCTGAGCAGGGTCTACAGCCTCCTGTTTCTTCTTCTGCTCTCCAGGTCCTGGTGCCTGATGGTGGCCGCTCTGCCACACCCCCAAGTGACCTCATCGAGATCCAGGTGGTAAAAGTTACAGATACTACACTGGTACCTGAGCCCCCAGAGCCTGGATCTTTTCACTGTGCCCTGTGTCCCGCTGCCTTCCACCTGGTGTCAGAGCTGCTGTTTCACGAACATGGCCACCTGGCAGGCGTGGAGGGGGTTGGACAGGGTGGGGACCCAAGCCGTTGTCACGTGTGTGGCCACCGCTGTCCAGGTTCTGCTAGCCTGCGTGCCCACTACAGCTTGCATACGGGAGAGCGGCCTTACCGCTGCCCACTCTGTCCACGAGCTTTTAAGACTTTGGCACCTTTGCTCCGGCACCAGCCCCGTCACGGGGTGGAACCACGCACCTCTCGAAGGTTTCTACCGGCAGCATCAACTGGACAGCCGAACCCAGGGATGACCCAGGAGAGGTCGGAGGTGGTGATGGCTGCGGCAGCTGCAGGGGCTGTGGTAGGCAAGCCTTTCGCCTGCAGGTTCTGTACCAAGCCCTTCCGCCGCTCCTCAGACATGCGAGATCATGAGCGTGTGCACACGGGGGAGCGACCCTACCACTGCGCCATCTGTGGCAAGGGCTTCACACAGTCCTCTGTGCTGAGTGGCCACACCCGCATCCACACTGGCGAGCGCCCCTTCCGCTGCACGCTCTGTGAGCGCACTTTCAATAACTCCTCAAATTTTCGCAAACACCAGCGCACCCACTTCCACGGGCCAGGGCCTGGGGTGGGAAAGTCTGGAGGTCAACTGGGACCATCTTGGGTGGTCCAGGAATCAGGGAGTAAGCACGGGATGGAGAACACTACTGAAGAAGGGTGCAGAGAGACTGTGGAGGTGAATGTGGAGGTTAACCAGTAGTTTAGGGAGTAGGAAGCCTATTGTAGTGGAAGTGGGTGGACAAATAGAGGCAAAAGCCAAGGAGAAATAATGAACAGCTGGAATTGGAGAGCTGAGAAGGAACCGGGTTCAGGTCTCCCAGAAACCCACGCTACACTTGAGACTCAGGAAAGAGGTACCTGCAGTTCTGTAGATGCCCAGCTGAATGTGAAAACACAGAGAGAGCCCAGCATGGCCCATTCTTGTTAAGCACAGTATTCTAGAGGCTGAGGCAGGAGGTTGTGAGGTCTAGACCAGCCCAGGCTGCAAAGCAAGACTTAATAATCCACCACCACCACCTCTGGTCCAATCCTGAACTGCCTCTGGACTGTGCAGGGGTTGCCCAAAGGTGGACTAATATGAAATCTCTTACCTACCTCAACTGAGTTGCACCAGTCCTGGTATGCCTACCCTCCCTAGGCAGAAGATGCCCACAGGTAATCTCTAAAGGGATGCTGGAACGCCTTCTCCCTTAAAACCAGAGAGTACCTAAACTGCAGTTGGGTGTCCATAAATCTCTAGAATGAGCCTGCCCATAGAGACTAACTCTAAGTTCTGCTCACCTCGCCATCCTATCCCAGAGTGGTCTTTCCTTAGCCACTAGACTCTTCTGGAAGCATCCAAGAGCACACACTGCAAGCAAGCAAGCACCTGGTATCCCTTAAGCTTTAGGCTTAGAGCCTGTGTCTCCTGTGTCTACAGAGAAGTTTCAGATTTCTCTATTTTCCTCCACTGTGGGGTAAACAGCTTCCTGCTTAGTCCTGGGCAATTCAGAGGAAGGGTTGGCTGCTGCTGACAACCTTGATGGGCTGGTCCTGGGTGTAGAGAGTAAGAGGAAAGAAACACTGTGGGAAAGGGCTAAAAGGACTTGGGAACTGGAATTTGGGGAGGGAGTGGGGACTTTGAGTCTGTTCCTATTAAAAGACTTTCTGAAATGCTTCTCTGTCAGTCTTGTTCTCTAGGTAGTTGGGAGATCAGGGCCTCACTATGCCTCTGTTGTTTTTTTTTCTTTCTTTTCTTTTTCTTTTCTTTTTTTCTTTTTTCTTTTTGGTTTTCCGAGACAGGGTTCTCTGTAACTTTGGAGGAGCCTGTCCTGGAACTAGCTCTTGTAGACCAGGCAGACTTCGAACTCACAGAGATCCACCTGCCTCTGTTTCCCGAGTGCTGGGATTAAAGGCGTGTACCACCACATCCCGGTGCCTGTTTTCTTATATCTGTTATATCTAGAATGGGGAGGGACTAGGCTTTGACTTTGTGGCTATATTGTAGTTTTGTGCACTGAAGGGATGTTGAAGGTTGCTGCTCTTACTCAGCAGAGCCCTTGATTTTCTCATGGAGAAGATGTGTTGCTAGCTCAGTCCTTGTTCATCCAGCATCCCCAAGAGACGACTCTCAGATGATGCATAATACAACTCACCATTTTCTCTAAAGAGAGGACCCTGCTTCCCATCTGTCTCACTAGCTCCTAATCTGAAGCCAGAGACCTACAGGGTTCCTTAAGCCACCTTCCCTCACCTTACTTCTGATCAGTCTTCCACACTGAGCAGTTAAGCACTTTGGAGTCCGGGCACTTCTTTTTATCATCTATTCGTCAGTGGCCTCATGTCTGAATGACTGCAGCAGTGCATGTCAGGTCCTGCCTTCTTCAGTTTCTCACACAGATCCTTGCCACTAAACAGAAGCTCCTGGGTGCTATCAGAAGGGACCACCAACACATCGGCAGTATGGGTAAGTGGCCAGATTCAAGGGGAGGGGAGATATAGCAACTGACACTCAGACTTGGTGTTCAGATTCAAAAGAAGCGAGGAAATTAGATGCTAATGGAATTTTCACACTCCATCAGAAGAGAGCAGTGGGGCTGGGGTGCAGCTCAGCTGCTAGCGTGCTTGCCTAGCATGCATGATATCCTGGGTTCAATTGCCAGCACCACAGAAACCAGGCATAACAGCATATGCCCATCTTCCCAGTACTCCGGAAGTGGAAGCAGAGGGATCAGAAGTTTGTAGTTATGAGGAAGAGGCTCTTAAGTCCCCACTCCTCTCTGAGAAGCTATAGGTAGTTAATGGTTGCCTGGGGAAGAGGGGTTGTAGTTCAGTGATGTAGCTGTTGGTAAGCCGCCCTTGCTCAGGTAAATAAGCTGCCCAATCCATTTATGCAAGCAACCCTGACTAAACACAATGGCACCAAGAGAATAAAGGACACGGAAGTAGAAGAGCCTGCTGGAAAGGAAGAGTTCAGCAGGAGGGTGAGAGGGATGAGCATACTGAGGGCTTTATAGATAGAATCAAAGGTGGATGTGTGTATGTGTGTGTACACATATACATATATGTATAAAACTGAGAGTAAAAATAAAATTCCAAGGCTGGAGAAATGGCTGCTCTTCCAGAGGTCCTGCATTCAATTCCCAGCAACCACATGGTTGCTCACAACCATATAGAATAAGATCTAGTGCCCTCTTCTGGCCTGCAGGCAGAATACTGTATGTATAATAGATAAATAAATCTTTAAAAAAATAAAATTACAAATTTGGGGCTGAAGGAATACCTCAGCAGTTAAGAGAACTAACTGCTCTTCCAGAGGACCAGAGTTTCAATCCCAGCACAGACATCATATCTCACAACCATCTGTGACTCTAGGGCCAGATGATCCAATGGCCTCTTTCAGCCTTCAGGGGCACCAGGCATCAAGTGGTGCACAAACATACATGAAGGCAAAATAACCATACATAAAATTTCTTTAAGTAAAAAAAAAAATCAAAATACAAAAAGAAAGTTCAAGATTAGCCAGCTGTGGTGGTGCACACCTTTAATGTCAATACCAGGGAGGTAAAGGCGGGTGGATTCTGTGAGTTCAAGGCCAGTCTGGTCGACAGAGTTCTGGAACAGCCAAGGATTACAGAGAGACCCACCCCGTCTCCAAAACAAAACAAAAATCAAGGCTATCCTTACCTCCAAAGCAAGTCCATAGCCAGCCTAGATCCTGTCTCCAGAAAGTCTGCAGGCGGTGGCGAATTCCACAGGCGTGCTCTCCCAGCTACTGGAGTGTGAATGACATGTCCAATCAATTCATGTTTCCCTAGTACCCAGGCCAGGACTTGGCAGACAGGAGACTTCGGTCATGATGGCTGAAAGCATCGTGGAGGGGAGTCTCGGAATCTCAAATCAGTTCCCCGGAGATGGACTTACCTGTCTCACTCTCGCCACTTGCCCAGTTCATAGGCTAATGCCGGGGACATGGCAAATCCTCACTCAACCCAGGTGAAACAAGACAGAGGTGCTGTGTGTCCATCCAGTTATCAGAATCCCCCAGCAACAGCAAGGACAGACCCCAGCGGCCCTGTTGATACGATTTATTGTTCTCTGCTCTGTACAAGCCGCGTCTGTTCCCCCCACCCTCCCAACCAAAGAGCACCCAGACCCCCAACCTATGCCCTCTCAACTCTGTTCATAGTCCACTGTCCAGCCAGATCCCAAAGGAAGTGGAGGCAGCGGGTAATTCAGGCCCATCTTCACCGCGGAGTTCACAGGAGCCAAAATGCGGCTGGGTAGCAGATGAGGTTTACAAAAGAAGGCTGGACGGAGGATCAAGTTCAGTGTCTGATGGACGAAGAAGGAAGGGCCAGAATGGCCTGGGATTGTAGCAATTTAACCTTCAGTTTATAGGGCAGGGCATGGGATCGGAAGGAAGCTAGTCCATTTGTAGTTCTTTAGAATGGGTAACAGTAAGGAGTGGTGGGGAGAGTCTGACCAGCAGCCCCAGGAAGGGGGGAGGGCGAGTCCAGAAGGGAACATCTGATTGGAGTGGTGTATTAAAACTCCCTGGTCAGGGATCCTTTCCGGCCAAGGCGCTTCCCCCTGTTCCGGGCCCCCCAAGGCCCTCAGCCTTGTGCACCAGGCGATGTTTCTTCAGACCGTAGGTGTTGGCAAAGCCCTCACCACAGGAGGAGCAGCGGAAGGGCCTACCTCCCTGATGGGCAGCCAGGTGCTTCCGGAAGTAGCCAGGATCCTTAAAGGCCTTGAGACAGGCCGGACAGCGCAGCTCGGGCCGTGGGGGCTCGTGGGCACGCTGGTGGCGCAACACCGAGCTCAGGTAAAAGAAGCCCTTGCCGCAGTGCTCGCAGCGGTAGGCGCGCTCGCCCAGATGCAGCCGCTGGTGCTCCAGCAGGTTGGAGCGGTAGCGGAAGGTCTTGCCGCAGGCGCCGCAGCGCTGAGGCCGAGCCACGGCGTGCAATCGCCGATGCTCCGCCAGGCTGGAGGATTGCGCGAAGCGCTTGGCGCACACTCCGCACTTGAAGGCGCGCTCGCCCGTGTGCACTACTCGGTGCTGCCGCAGGTACCAGGAACGCAGGAAGCCTCTGCCGCACACGCCGCACCGGTAGGGCCGCTGCTCTGTGTGACAGCGCTGGTGGCGCATCAGCAGGGCCGCCTCCCAGAAGCGCTTCCCGCACACCGGGCAGCGGAAGCCCCGCTTCTGTCGGTGGCTTCGGCGGTGCAGGAGCAGATCGTAAGCTCCGGCAAAGCTCTGGCCGCAGAGGCCGCAACCCAGGGTCCGGCGCACCAGGTGCACATACTTGTGAGTCACCAGGCCCAGGAAATGCTTGAAGCTTTGTCCGCACGTGGCACAGCTGAAGCGCTCAGCGCCTGAAGTGGCCCCGCCACCCCCTCCAGTCACAGTCGTCCCACCCGAATCCTCGCTGCCCCCAGACACGCCGGCCAGCGCTGCCACCGCCGCCCCCACCTCTCCGGCCAGTCCGTTGTCCAGCACGCTGGATGCGTCGGTGCCGCCGCTAGAACTATCAGAGGACTGGGGACCACTGGGGGTTGGCGGCAGAAGACGCTCCGGGGCAGCCTGGTGGACCAGCTTGTGCCACATGAGATTCTCGATGAAGCCGAAGGTCTTGCCACAGGAGTCACAGCCGTATGGCTTCTCTGACATGTGGGCTTCTTTGTGGCTCATGACGTGAAAGAGATCTGGGAAATGCTCCCCACAGTCCGAGCAGGCGTAGCTCAGGCCGTCGGCGGGCCCGCCCGAAGCACCTGCAGCCCCGGGTCCACAGGTCCCCGTGGTCCCCTGGCCCCCGCTGAGGCCTGTGGCTCCGGCCAGGGCACAGGGCAGCTGGAGCCGGTGCACCTGGCGATGGCGGGTGAGACTCTGCGGGTAGCCGAAGACCTTGCCGCACAGCTCGCACTTGTAGGGCCTTTCCCGGGTGTGCACCACATGGTGCTTGCTCAGGTGGAAGGACTCGCGGAAGCGCTTCCCGCACACTGGGCACTGGTGGGGCTTCTCGCCGGTATGGATGCGCTCGTGGCGCTTCAGGGTCTCGCGGCGCCCGAACGCCCGCCCGCAGATGCCGCAGCAGAACGTCTTACCTGGGACGCCCGTGCCCGCACCACCAGCGCCGCCGTTCCCGGCACCACCGAGCAGCAGCGGATGCGCGCCGAGAAGTGGCACAGGCACTGCCCCATACACCACCGCCGCTGCAGCAGCCGTGGCTTTCTCGTCGGTGGTGGTCGGGTCCGCGGGTAGGAGGTAGGGGCCCGGGGGGAAGGTGGGAGGTGGCTGCGGGGCTGGGGTCGCCCCATCCTTGGCGGGTTCGGTGGCCACAGGTGGCGCGTGGGCAGCCTTGTGCCGCAACAGGCTCTGGGGAGCTGAGTAGGTCTTCCCGCACAAGTCGCAAGGGTAGACTGGCCGCGGAGCCCCGGCCCCTGCATGAGCTGCCTGGTGCTTGAGGAGGTAGGAGGCATCGCGGAAGGCCTTGCCACAGATGCCACAAGGCAGGCGCAGCAGGTCGGCCGAGTGCGTTTTCACGTGCCGCTTGAGGCTCTCCCTCCGGTTGAAGCTTTTGCTGCAAACGGAGCAGGAGAAGGGCTTCTCACCTGTGTGGATGATCTGGTGCTGGTGGAGGTGGCTGGGCTTCTTGAAGACCTTCCAGCAGAGGGGGCAGGCAAATGGGCCCTCCCCGCCAGTAGTGGTGGGGGGAGGCATGGCCACCCCAGCTGCGGCAGCAGGGGTGGCATTCCCATCTGTGGAGGTGGCAGGCGCTGCAGGTGTAGCTGAAGGGCCGGAGGACACTGCAGCAGGAGCGGAGGTGGCTGTGGCACTGGCTGTGGGTACCGGGAGGCCCAGCGAAGGAAGCGGTGTCCCGGGCTGTGGTGGACCCCCAGCAGTTGGTGGCACATCCTTGTGGCAGCGTCGGTGGCGTATGAGACTGGAGACATGGTTGTAGGTGCGGCCACAGACACCGCATTCGTATGGTCGCTCCCCAGAGTGCACCAGCATGTGCTGGACCAGATGTGAGGACTGTTTGAAGGACTTCTGGCACACACCGCATGGGAAGCGACGCTCCATCAGGTACTTCAGCCTTCGGAAGTAGCCCTTATCGTCCTTGGTTGGGTCGCAGGCCGCCCCGACCGTAGGCCCAGGTGGGGTCTGCGTGGGTGTGGGAAGTGGCCCAGGGGTCCCGGTGGGAGTACCCAGACCCGATGTCACCCCAGGCCCAGGCGTGGGCCCTCCTCGTTTCAGATTTCCGAACAGGTGCTGGTGCCCAGACAGGTCGACAATTCCCCATTGCGGGGCAGGGAAGGCAGCATCAAAGAGCGGAGGGGGTGGCGCCCCGAAGGTGGGCGGCAATGGCGGATCCAGCTTCTTGGCTTGGGAAGAGGATGAAGAAGATGAAGATGAGGAAGATGAGGAGGAAGATGATGACGAGGAGGATGAGGACGGAGCCTCTGCCTTGGGTTTGAAACTGGACTGGGGTGGGTAGTCATACTGAGGCGGAGGAGGCTGGGGTGGGGGCTGGGGCGGGGGCCCCGGGGTGCAGGGCAGGGCCGCCACTGCTTTGGCATGCTCCCCGTACAGTTCCATGGGCTCAAAGCGCTGGTGGTTGAGGAATTCCAGGAAGTCAAAGGGGTAACTCTGGAAGTGGACCCCGTCCTCGCCCCCGATGCCGCTGCTCCCGCCACCCCCGGCACCGCTGCCTGCCTGGTTTGCCTCCATCTCTGGCCGGTGGAGAGAAGGGAGACCCTGTGAAGAAGAGGATGGGGACTGAGCAAGGGGGGGCCCATGAGTAGCAGGCAAAGGAAACTACGTCCATGCTCCTGCACCAGCGCCAATCTCTTAGCTCACCTGACAATCTGCCCATACAAGTTACCCAGGCTGTGTATCTAGCATCCTCCCAACCTTACCTCCATCTTTTCCTGGATCTTCACACATCTCCCTATTCACCCTCAGACTGTCTTCTCCATGCATCTCTCCCAAGACTAATTCTCCCAGGACCTTGGTGATGGGGGGGGGGGGCGGGTCTAAACTATCTCCTGCTCTACATTGAGATTCTTTCACTCCATCACATACTTCCTCTGGTCTCGATCTTCCCAGGTTTGCCACTATAAAATGAGGATAAAAATAGCACCCAGCTAAGTAGTTAAGACAGGGGCTTCAGGAACCAAAATGGCAGCTTCAAACCTAAATCTAGTCCCTTTCTTTTCTTTTTCCCCAAGACAGGTCTTCTCTGTGTAGCTCTGGCTGTCCTGGAACTCACTCTGTAGACCAGGCTGGCCTCAGATTGAGAGATTTGTCTACCTCTGCCTCCCAAGTGTTCTCCCAAGTGTTGGAATTAAAGGCATGGGCAACCACTGCCTCCCCCCCCCACCCATCCCTTTCTAGCTGTGGGACCACGGGCAAATGACAGAACCTCTGCCTCCACAACCATTGTGACTAAGGGCAAACCAAGCACTCAGGAGGCTGAGATTGCTCCAAGTTTGAGGTAATCTTGTGGTAGGGGAGGGAGGCAAGGAGGCAGGCAGGGAGGAAGGAAAAGGTCTAGGGCAAGCAGAATATATCAAGCACTAGGTTGTTGTGAAGACCCAACATTTTAACATTAGCATGTGGAAGGCTCCTCCTGGCGCCTTGTAAACACTCAATATATGGTAATGCCTTCCATGAATTGATAGTATCCATTTCAGTAGCAGAAATAGGGAAGTCAAGTAAACTGGGTAAGAGCTCAATACTGGGGGAGAGGGAATATTCTTTGATTGCAAAGTAGAAAGGAAAATCCACTAGCCTAGGACAAGGTAGTTACGGCAAGAATACCTGCATAGACCTGGGTTCTGATCTGATCTTTGCTAGGTCCATGCTTTCTCCACATTTAAAATGGGGCCTGAACTTCTACATAGGGAGCTGAGGATGGAATGCAACATTATCAGTAGTGTGCATTCCAGCCCTGGGCTGGATGCTATAATTGATGATATCACACACCTGGGCAGACCGATCCTAGTCCTTCGATGACGGTTTCTCTTAGCTCCTCCCAGCAGGCAGGCACTTTTTGTACAACTTTTTCTGTCTGTTTTCCATTCCTGCTATCTGTCTGTCCTCTCTCCTCACTGGAACCTCAGCTTCCGGAGTTCACTTCTGTGTTCACACACACAGAAGCCCTACTGAGCTTTTGAAGAGTCGCTGGGAGAAAGGCCCATTTTTGCCCATCATCCCTTTCCCTATAGTTCTATAGTTCTGGCCCAGTACTCATCTTTCTAATCATACTATACTCAAAAGCTAAGGAGCCATGGGGGACAGGATATCCCTCCAAGGCCCAGGACCTTTATTTAGTCTGCCTGGCTGGCTCTTGGCACCCACAGGTAAAAGGTGTCTCCACCCCACCTCTACACAGAAATAGATATTTTTAGTATCCAGCTCTGAGTGTTCTTGAACAAGAGTCAACACCCATGCCCTTTACACCCCTTCTATTCAATCTAAGCTCCAGAAGAACCAAAGGCATAGCAACCAGAAGACTGCACGCAGAGCCTAAGTGTGGGACGCAGCCAGCAAGGAGGAAGACGCATAGTGGAAGGATGCAGGAGGCAGAGACCAATTTAGAGTGCCACGGAAGGGGGCGGGGACCTGCGGGGAGAAAATGGTGACCAGCTTTGCCTGCCCCCATGAGAACCTTAGTGACAGCTCAGCTGCTGCAGCTGGGGTGTCTCACACAGACTGGCCTGTCCTAAGCCCTTCCACTTCTTAACTCATGAAATCCTTGTTATAACTCTTATATGGAGACGCTTCTCTCCACTGAACCCACTGAAGCACCAAGGATCTAGTGATTCCTCGAGGTCCCCAGAGCAAGTCTGCAGTAGAACGGCTGGTGTGACAGCCAGAAGATGCCATCCCCTGTGGGAGAGGCTTTCCCAGGAGCTGCACCCTGAAAGTGGAGGAAGGTGCAGGGTAGAATTATGGTAACAGAAGTCTCCTTTAGGGCTATTTAGGAGTCTCTCTGGGCTATTTATATGAGGGACCTAGCAGGTGGTGTGGGGGATTACTATTCAATAGATTTTGCCAGACATGGTAGTGCACCTTTATAACCCCAGTATTTGTGAACCTGAGGGAGGAGTCAAGGCTAGCCTTGCCTACGTGGTGAGTTTGAGGCCAGCCTGGGATACTGGAGACTGTCTGAAAAAGCAACAAACCCCATGGATTCTTTGTCTGCCTCAGGACATCCTCCTCCCCCACCCACCCACACATCCTATTCAGGTTTCTATCCTCACATTGTCTCCACTAGTCCATAACCCAGCTGTATTCTTTTCACCACAGTTAGTGCCACCAACAGATTATGTACTACTTTGTCATGCATTATTACTGTCTGACCTCTCAACTACGGGAGCAAGGACTAAAGTAGCCTGCTTTCTTTGCCACTATGCCCTAGCGCCTACCACAGTGCAGATGTGGACAAGCTACAGATACTTAACAAATATTTGTTGCTATGTAGAGATGAGCAACACCCCTCTCTCCTCCTCCAGGAGATCCATGAAGAGACCGTGAGGGGAATCAGAGAATGTGTTGCAATGAATGAAAATGAAGACACAGCCAGGTGCTGTGGCACATGCTTGTAATCTCAGCAGCACTAAAGGAGATAAGAGGTAGGAAGACCAGATCAAGACTAGCCTCAGCTGCACAGCATGTTCAAGGCCAACCTGTGCTATCTAGCACTCTGTCTCAGACAATAAAAAAAGAAAAGAAAAACACACACAAAAAAATACCAACATTGAAGAGATGTAGGTAAAACAGTGCTCAAAGGGAAATTTATTGCAGTAGACATCTATATTGATAAATATTTGCCAAATAATAAGAAACTAGAAAGATGGTTCAGTAAGTATTTACTGAGTAAGCATGACTTAAGTCTTCAATTGCCCCGTTTTAATAATATTAGTTTATTTTCTCCCAGCACATCTGTCTGTGCACTGCCCACGTGACTGAGTGGAAGCCAGAAAAGAGTGTCAGATCCTCTGGATTTGGGTTCCAGGTGGTTGAGAGCCACCATGTGGGTGTTGGGTTCTACAAGAATAGCAGGCACTCCTAGTGTGGGCCCATCTCTCCAATCCCAAACTGCCCCTTTCCTGAGGTGCTGTGTGCCAAGGAAAAGTTTATGCAATTATAATGGAAGAACTGCCCCACTCCACACACCAAACGGAGTTCCACATAAACACAGCAAGTCTTAACAGGGGTGAAGAGATGGTCCAGTGGATAGAGCACTTGGCATGCAAGACTAAAGACCAGAGTTTGGATCTCCATAACCCACAGAAAAGTAAAAGTCAGGTGGGCAAAACAGCTCTCTGTTATCCAGTACTTAAGAAGGCAGAGATAGGGCTGGGGAGATGGCTCAGTGGTTAGGAGCACTGGCTGCTCTTCCAGAGGACCCAGGTTCAATTCCCTGCACCCACATGGCAGCTCACAACTGTCTGTAACTCCTGTTTCAGGGGATCTGACATCTACATGCAGGCAAAACACCAATGCACATGAAATAAAAATAAACTAAAATAAAAAAAAAACAAAAACAGCAGAGATGAGGGATCTCCATGGCCAGCAGGTTAACTACACTAGCCCAACTTGTGTGCTTCAGATTCAGTGGGAGCCCTTGCTTCAGTAAAGCAGAGTAGAATCAGGGAAGACACACATGTCAACCTCTGGCCCCTACATAAGTAAACACATGTACCATGCTACACACAGGGGAAAAAATGTTAAAAAGTCACATCTGTTATTTGACTCTTCTAAGTTCTCAAAACAATAAGAAAGGACGGGTAGACTCAGAAACACTGAGGCACAGCTGGGCAGTGGTGGCGCACACCTTTACTCCTGGCACTCAGGAGGCAGAGGCAGGCTGACCTCTGAATTCAAGGCCAGCTGGGATACACAATGAGTTCCAGGACAGCCAGAGCTACACAGAGACCCTGTCTCAAAAAAACACCCTAGCCCCCCAAAAAAATCACTAAGGAAGAGCTGGGGGGGGGTCACTGAGATGAGTGGAGTTAAAGGAAAGTAAGTGGTGGGGTTCCAGACTCCACTCTTCCCTGTCAGTATTTCACTTTCCAAAACAGAAGTGGGGCCCCTACTGCTGCATACTGGAGACATGACCTGCTCCATCCTCTCCCCGCCTCCTAGTCATGCCTCTCAGTCTGCCCAACTCCAGACCAGCCACTGACATTCACTCAACTCTAGAGTGAATGGGCTTGCTGCTTCACACAGTGTGCTTCACACATTCAAGATTCCCAACAGCTCGGTGGTTAGGAGCACTGGCTGCTCTTCAGGGGACCTGGGTTCAGTTCCCAGCACCTACCCAGCAGCTCGCAACTGCAACTGCCGCTTCAGGAGTTTCAGCACCTTCACACAGAGACAAATGCAAGCAAAAACACCACTGCACAAAAAATTCCCAACACTCTCAGCAGTATTGCTGTCCTGCTTAGCTGGGAGATGAAGGTCAGGCCCTTCTTGCAGAAAACCTCGAAACCCTGCCTCACTTGGTAAATCCCAAAGTCCTTCCAGTGATCAACACAGGTCCCCACAAGCTTGCAGCTGTTCTTCCACTGCGCTGGCTCCATTTCTGCTCCGGGGCCTATGTTTCAGGACTGTTGCTTTTGCAGGCAAAATTAACTCCCCCACACTCTCCTCATCTTCTTCCTATCTCTGTTCAATTGTTGCCTTCTCAATGGAGGCTCTGAGTGGTCAGTGCCACCTGTGCCCCAGGCCTACACTCCCCAGCTAGCTTCATTTCCCTCCAGATCATCAGCACTGAATGTACCTACCGCACGTTTTGCTTTCCTGACTGGGTTTTTGATCACTCTCTGATGCCAAGATTTTCTTTTTCCATTTTCACATGTGTAGCCACATGTATGCATGTAGAGACTGGATGCTAGGAATGATCCTCCATCTCTCTTCCACTCAGTCATTAGCCAGACTGCTCTGGAGATCCTATTTCTGCCTTCAGAGACTAGAATTACAGTCCCAACTGTAATTCCAACTCACTGGCATTCAGATGGGTTCTGGGGATCCGAACTCTGATCCTTATGCTTTTGTGGCAAGTGGTTTAACCACTAAGCCATCTCCACAGCCGCAGAAACAAGATTTTTAAATGCTTTGCTCTGAACTCTGTCCTCAGGACCTGGGACAGTACCTAGCTTGCTAATAATTAAATAAAAACAAAAACAAAAAACGTGTTACATTTATTTCTTGTGTGTGTGAACATGTGGAGGTCAGAGGATAACTTACAGGAGTCAGCACTCCCCTTCCACCATGCGGGTTTTGGGAGCTGAACTCAGGTCATCAGGCTTGGGAGCAAGAGCTTTTACCCACTGAGCCATCTCACTGGTGGCTTGAAAATATTACTGAAGAAGCAAAGGAATGAGGCCAGCACACAGGGTGAGAAGACTCAAGTCTAGTTAAATCCACAGCCCATGCTCTTAACCACTTCACCTGCAAGGTGAGGCGCTGTCAAAGCAGCCCCACGGTAGCCACAGCAGTCTAGGACCAAACTGTCTGTTCCTGAGGAGCAAGATGGAATGAGAGCCCGCATGTGGTCTTAGTAACAGCCAGCCCCTGTAACTCTGTCCACATGCTTATTTTCATTTTGTGTGTGGTATATGTTTGCATGTGAGGGTGTGGAGACCCAGGCCAACATTGTTTGGCCTCCTCAACTGTTCTCCTCTCCTTCTTTGAGACAGTCTTTCATTAAATCTGGAATTAGTCAGTGGGCTCCAGGAATCCCCTCGTCTCCACTTCCCCAGTGCCAGGATTACAGACATGTGCCACTATGCCCATTTTTTTCTTTAATGTAAATGCTGAGACTCTGAATTCAGAATCAAACACTTTACTGATTGAACTATGTCCACCAACCCCAGGTAGATTGATTTCTAATGTCCACCTTCTCAACTAGCATAGCCACTCTATGTGGACAGGAATCTTTGCCCATTTTATTCTCTGTAGGAAGTAGATGCTCATTAAACAGGTGATGAAAGTGTTTATGAGTCAATAAGGAACAAGTGGATGCAGGAAGAATCTTAGGAGCTTGGTAGAGCAGACAAAAGCCAGGCAATTTATCTCCAGGCTCTTTGGGATCAAGCCTTCTCTCCTTCGATTCTGCTCCAAGCTCACTGCTGCTCTTCCACACTCACTGTTACCTCCGGAATTCTGCACCAGCTGTTCCCCCAGATCTTTGAATGGCACGATTATTAAATCTTCTGTTTCAGCATTCACCTCCGGGCATAGCTCACCAGACTCTCAGAAAACCCAAAGAGCAGCACTGTTTGTTTCTGATCTGCCTCTCAACTAGGCTGCAAACCCCCGGAAAATGAGGGTTAGTTGCGCCTCTCCCCTTCACAACTGCATGGCGTGGGCCTAGAACGGTGGGATTCATTCAGTAAAGAGTAAGAACGTATGGGGAAGGATGCAAGCAGCGCCAGGGTCTTTCCTAGGAAGTTTAGGACAATATCACGAGACTTGGCTAAAGATGGGGACAAGAGCTGTTGATGCTCCATAGAGGAACATTCTCTGCTAACTTGCATTGTTCTGGGAAAGCAGAGGCCAGGGTGAGGGGAGGGAGGGAAGTGGGGCGGGAGTGTTTCATGAGAACCTGATGCTAAGCAGGCAGATGTCTCTTCCTAATGGGGAAAAGGACTCTGGAAGGAGCTGTTTCACTGATGGGGTCTTTTTGAGGGGGTTGCAGGAAGGGTTTTTAAAAAGCAATCTTGGCATAGGCCAGAATAGAAAATATTTTTGCACCCACAAAGGCATTGGGGATGGGTTGTGTGTGGTCAGACATGGTGGGGGGCAACTCTTGTCACAAAGTACTAATGCAACACCCCCTGGAGACAATCGTACAGGAGATAGGGACCTAGGGCTCATGGGCAGCTGCCCTGCAAGCATAGCAATGCTGATGGCTTGGGGAGGGTCTCGTGAAGGAAGCTGACGAGGCTATAGGAAAAGGATCCGTGGGGGGCCCTGGCTCTTGAGAGGTTCATTACGAATGAAAACGCGTTGGTAGCCAGCCCACGGTGAGGGGGGCGTCCATGGGGGATATATCTGGAGTGATCTTGTGGGGGACTAGTGATTGGGGATCCCCTGCCTCGGGCCCGGCAGTGAAGCACTGACGTTCTGGGGGGGGTGCGTCCTAGGGATTGCGGCAGGCCAGGAAGAGGCCCCCCGCCCCCGAGGAACCCGGGTCCCCGGGCCGCGCACCCCGTCACTCACCGGCGCTGGGGTCTCCGCCGGGAGGAGGCTGAGGAGGCGGAGGAGGTGCCGCCGCTCCGGGGAGACCCGAGGGCCCAACCGGAAGTGCCGCCCCTTCCCCCCCACTCCCCACCAGCCCCGCGCCTCCTGCCCGGAAGCGGAAGTCGCGCCGGTTCCCCCAAAGCGCCGGCGTGGAGGATGGCGGCCGGGGAACGGGGAAGGGAAATTACGCCGGCACAGTGTCTCACGACACGGGGGGCGGGGGGGGGAGATAGCTTAGGCTGCTTCCGGTGGGCGAACGGAACCTGCTGCGCCTGCGCTCAATGCGCCCGATTCTTAGGGCACCACCCACAGGCTTTAGCCATCCGGCTAGGACACACCCTGGGGCTCGGGTCTCACGCTTGAGCCCCGCCCCCTAGGCTTGGCCCCGCCCATTTCCGAACGTCTTGTTTTAGGTTGGTTCGATTCCTCCAATTAATTCTAGTCTTCTCTCTAAACCCCTACTTTTGGAATTCCACCCTCCCGCCCAGATCACGCCCCCTTTTAAATCCCGTCTCTTACAAAAAAGCTGTGCACCGCCCCTCGCATTTAAGAGACATCACTTTTTTACTTTTTAATTTCTTCTTTTCAGATGTGATCTCACACTGTGGCTCAGAGTGGCCTTGAACTCCTGTGTAGGGCATACTGGCCTCAAATTTGCAGCAATCCTCCTGTCAGAGCTTTCGGGAACTCTGAGATTATGGGGCTGGCTCTCTAATAATTTGTATGCTTGTAGTCACTTTGAAAGCGTTCCTTTAAGTCAGTTATTCTTAACCATTGGCATCAATCAGCGTGATGCTCCTTAACCCAGACTTACTGAATAGAAAGCTTTGGGGTGGGTTTCAGAGATCCGAGTCGAGACACTTTGGATGTACGACTTTTTTGTTTGTTTTGGTTTTTCGAGACAGGTTTTCTCTGTATTGCTCTGGCTGTCCTGGAACTCTCTCTGTAGACCAGGCTGGCCTTGAACTCAGAGATTCGTCCATTTCTGCCTCCTGAGTGCTAGGATTGAAGGTGGATGCACTACTCTTAACTTAGTCCGTCTATGAACAGCTGAACCTAATTTTAGTCTATTTTTCTTCCCTCTCCACTCCATGACCTGAATAGCAATAATGTCCATCCCTAAGCATTCTCTCCAAATGGTTAATACCGCACTTTGCAAAGTACTTCTACAGAACAGGTTTTTGAGATGCCCCTACGAATGTTCGCAGGGGTGCCTTATTTCGCACGCCTATATTAAAAGATCTTTAAAATCAACAATCTTGAACTCTACTTCATTTTTTAAAAAGACTTTACTCCCACCTTTCAGTTAAATGCCATCCATTCCCTTTAACTTGCTTTCTGCCAGCCAAGCCTTAAAGTTCTTTGTTCCTCAGCCTAATTTTTCGCCTGCTTTCCTAAACTGCGACTTAGTTTTTATTGCCGAAGTTTCGTACCTCATCTTAAGCCTCACCCTCCCCTCGAGCTCACATCCTTTTCTCTAAACCCGATGGAAATGTTCAGTTCTGTTCACCCTCCTCAGCCCACACCCTGGAACTGGCCACTCACTCAACCCAGGGCCTTGTGCATTGAAAGTACATTACCACTAAGTTAGACTGCAAGTCCTCAACTTAGTTTTTTTCTTCTGAATAGCAAGTCCTCTGGAAAAGAAGTTGGAGCAAAGAGTGTCCTAGGTAAAAATTCTGGGGACTCAGCTATGAAGAAGGGGCCCAGAGTCACGTTTGCATAGTGGGTTAAATGTTTTACAGTACTTGTCTGATGGAGAGGAGCTTGGGCCAAGGCTTGTTCCAAGCCACTGGTTCTTTGGCACCATGCTAAGGAGATATGTGAAATGGTTTCTCTCCAATCACACACACCGCAGTCAGGGAAGGTAACAGAGGAACATTGAAAGGGACAGGCACCATGACTGAACACACACTGGAAGTCAGTAGGCAGGGATTTATTTCCACAGCCCATGCCTCCCAGAGCCTGTCAGTCCGAAGGAAGGTGCTAGATGGCATCAGGACCCAGCGATTTAGGTCCCTGCTTTCGACCGCCTTCTGTGATGGGAGTACCACTAGAAATAAGGGTGTCTTGGCCTCCTTCCCCTTGCCCAGCACCAGCTGAACTCCCGGCTGTAAACCCAGACAGGGGAGAAGTGGTGGAGGATACAGGCCAAGCAGGCATCTTTCCTTCAGGACTCTCTTCCTGCACCCTTTCTGGAACAGGCATACCCTCATCATCATCCCACAGCGGTTGGGGTCTTGGGTTTGGGGGGCACAGGCGCACCGGCATCCCCACAAGCTCTGGGTGTTTGCGTTTGTAATGGCGCCGAAGAGTATTGGCTTCAGTGAAGCGCACCCTGCACGAGGGACACTGATATGGACGCTCGCCAGAGTGAATGCGGTGGTGATGTGCGAGCTCCCCAGCCTCGCGGAAGCGACGAGGGCAGAGCACACAACGGAAGGGCCGATGGCCGGCATGGATGTTGCAATGACGCCGCAAGTGGCTGGACCGCTTGAAGGTCTTGCCGCAATCTTTGCACACATGCGGCTTCAACTCTGAGTGCGAGATGCTGTGGCGCTCCAGGTCGGAGAGGTAGGGGAAGGCTCTCAGGCACACAGGACAGAAGTGTGGAGCCCTCTTGGAGCCAGAGCCCTGGGGCCCATCTGCTGCTGATCCTTCTGGAACTGTATAAGGAACACCCTGATCATCGATCAACAGAAGATCGTTGCTGCCACCGCTGTCCACTGGTGCTGCCAACGGGGCTTCCTGCACTGATTTGGGGGGGCGGCCCCGCTTTCGAGGGAGGGAGGACTTGAGAGTCCGATTGGAGGTGGTGACTCCCCCTGGTGGCCGGCCTCGGCGGCCCCGGGGAACAGGAGGAAGTAAGGCCAGAGGTTTTTCTTCCTCCCCAGACAAAGTTGAAGGCAACGGGTCTGAGCTGGGGTTGTCCATTGAGCAGTGGGGAGCTTGAGTCTGGGTACTGGAGCCGGCTAAGAGAAGAGAGGGGGCGGTGTCAGTGTGGTGAGGGTCTAAGCCCCCATGTACCCCAATAACTCATCTATCCCTCCTAAGTCTTTGGAGACCTATATAAGAAGACAAGTTGATAAGATATACTGACTGCCCTCCTCCACATGGCTCTCTCCAGGCATTCTTTCATGGCAGTTTGAGAATGATCTGGCTCCCCACAGGCTCCTATGTTTGAATGTCTGGCTCCATTAAGTGGAACTCTTTGGGAAGGATTAGGAGATGTGGTGTTATGGGACATTTGTACACTCAGTGAAGATGTATTGCTGCGATTGGTCTAACAGCTGAACAGTCAATAGCTAGGCTGGAGAGGTTAGGCGGGACTTGTGGGTAGAGAGGAACTCAGGGTTAGAATCTGGCCTGACAGGAGCTGCCTACCAGACACTGAAGAAACTGGACATATGGTAAAGAGGAGCAGTAACCGAGCCACGTGGCAGACTGTAGATTAATAGAAACAGGTTTGTTTAAGCTATAAGAGCTAGTTGAAAAAGTCTACGCTAAGGCCAAGCTTTCATAATTAATAGTAAGTTTCTATGTTGTTATTTGTGAGCTGTGGCCCAAAGGAAAGTCAGACTACAGTGTGCCCTTGATGGAGTAGCTGCTGCCTTGTGGGAAGAGGTGTTTCACCAGGAGTGAGCTACACCAGGCCAGTCTCCCTCTACCTGAAACTTACAGGTCAGATATGAGCTCTTAGCTACTGTTCCAGCACCAGGTCAGCCTGTTGGCCCCCACACTCCTGACCAAGATAATTGTGGACTCGCCCTCTGAAAATGTAAGCAAGCCTCATTCAATGCTGCTTTTTTGTTCTGTTTGGTTTTTGGTTTCTTTTGTTTTTTTGAGGCAGGGTTTCTCTGTGTATCTCTGGCTATCCTGGAACCAGTTCCCGTAGACCAGGCTGGCCCTGAACTCACAGAGATTTGCCTGCCTCTGCCTCCCTGAGTGCTGGGATTAAAGGCGTGCACCACCACCGCACACCAAATGCCGTTTTACAAGTTGCCGTGGTGACAGATTTTCATCACAACAACAGATCAGTAACTACTTTAGTCTTTAAGGTCAAAATGAGTTAAAAATCTAGCTGAGAATGGAACTCTGGGCCACAAAGGCCTCCAAAAGCCCTCTACCACACATAGATGGGGAGGAGGTCTGAAAAGGGTCAGGTCCTAGGCAAATCTGCTGATGTGTGAAGGACATGTGGTGCTAAATGTCTGGACTTTGGAGTCAGATAATCAGAAATGAAATGCTGAATCTGTCCCTTCCTTTCTGTCTGGCATTATACAAGATCTTAACTTCTCTGGGCTCATATATGCCCTTTGCAAGATGTAACTCAGGGTTTGTTTGTTTGCTGTTCTTTCTTTCTCTTGTTGTTATTGCTGTTGTTAATTTACTAACCCAGACATGCAGAGAACATGATACACAAAAGCCAGCACTAACCTTTCGAGGAAAACACATTTTCTGTTTTGCAAACAGGAAAACTAAGGCACAGAAAGCCAAGTGAGTTAAAGTTCTCTCTGCCAGTAAGTGCCAATGAAGTCAAATCAGTCTGACCTTGGTGGCCCAGGAAAGAGAAAAACCTAGGAAGATTAGGTTTGTGTGTGTACATGGCATACTTGAGGTCTCCCAGTCCTGGGTTTGGATCCCGTTCTACCAATAATTAGCTGCAAGTCAGTTTCCTTTTCTGTAAAGTCAATATACTGAGGTTGTGGGGGAGAATCGACTGAAATAAGGAAGTTTCAAAAATGTCCCTAGAACATTTGCCTGGAATACAGAAAGCATCCGAAAAACCACCACCATCATTTCCCAGAGCCCAGATCTCGGGACCATAGAAATGAAGTGTACTTGGAGGACAAGAGGGCTACAGGTGCAGCTAGGAGTAGCACATGCTGCTGGGGGACCCTGCATTCCTCTTTAAACAGTTCTGTTGTCTGGTTGGTTCTAAGTTTTCTTTGTGTGTGGTGCTGGTTATCCAATTCAGGGGCCTCACGCATACTAGGCCTGAGCTACAACCCCAAACCTTGCACCCCCTTTTCATATGCACACAGCATGAGGTCCACACCGGGGGGGGGGGGGGAGCAACTTTTCCAGGATCGCAAGGTTCGCACCATGCTGTGGCCTGGACAAGTAACTGAATTTCTGAAACATACCTAGGAAGTGAGTGATCCCTCGACCCTCCCCCACCCACAGTCCGGTGGGACGTCTGCCTGTCAGCCCCGAGTGGCCCAGCCCGCAAGCGGGGCGGGCCCTCAGGATGCGGTGGCCAATAAGCGGCGCGGGGACATTGGCGGCAGGGGCTGCCAGGAGGGGGTCTGCGCTCACGAGCCCGGACCGCTTGGTGGGGCGCAAGGTCGGCGCGCGCAGGAGAGAGCGCAGAAGCAGGGAACAGGTGCCGGGGGCGCGCTCGGGCACGCGCACCCGGGACCACCCCCTTCCCCCTCCCCCCCACCCGGACCCCCCGCCTCTGGGTACCTCATTTGCATGCTGCCTGGGCTCGCGTGTGTATGCGCGCGCGC